CCGGGGCTTGGCGCCGGAGGCAGCGACCCCCCCCGCACCCTCCGGTCGGAGCTGGCCGCCGGCGGAGCGACGCTGCACCTCCGGCCGGAGCTGGCGCCGGCGGAGCGACGCTGCACCTCCGGCCGGGGCTGGCGCGGGAGCAGCGACCCTGCACCTCCGGCCGGGGCTGGCGCCGGCGGAGCGACGCTGCACCTCCGGCCGGGGCCGGCGCCGGAGCAGCGATTCTGCACCGCGGCCACCACCCGAACACGGGGTCGGCAGCGGAGGGCTCAGGGGGAGCTAGAGCTCTGACTGTGCCAGCTGCGAGGGCGGATCAGCTGAGAGATGGGCGAGATCGGCAGCGAACTGCGGTCAGGGTAGGCTGCATGCAAGATTCGAGCGCTGCTGCCAGTGTGTGCAGGTGCGTTGGATGGAGAGGGGAAGCTACCCCTCCGACGAATATGGATACATGGAGCAGATAATAAACGGCAATAAATATTAGACCAATTAGCTTCCGACAACTTCTGAATTTGTTTCACAGGTAGTGGCGTCAACACACTCTGGGTCAAACATTAAGCGCACCCAACGGCAGCACGATGACCTTCCCTGCTCCCGTTCTCACACAAAAACATACGGGCTGGGAGCCTTTAACCGCGACCGCACATCAACGAAGCAGAGAGTCTCTGCGGGCACGCGTGCAGTACCGAGCTGGTGACGTCACAACGGCTTGACCGTTCATTGGTGCGGCGCTGGGGATAGCAGAACAGCTTGCCTACCGACGAATTAATTCCGTGTTTGTGACTGGACCTACGATGACGGACACTGGACTTATTCCTGACCGGCAATGTTAGTCGCGGGCCAACAATAGACATGACGATCCAACTTCCAATGTTAGCACCCAATATCACATCTTTGTGGTTTGCCCTACGCTCTGAGTCCCACGCGATTTGTGATCTATCCCAAGACCAGGGATACGCCTGCGCCTATTTTCGAGCTAATGCTGCCGTACCACCTGATCTTGAATTGGCGCTGATTCAAAGACCGCGCTCAGGCCTGAGTGGTGATCTGAGGTCGATGAAAGGTCGTGTCAGTCTCCAGATTCTAATATCTGGCTTGGCAGTTGGCTGGTGGTTTGGTGAAGCTTCGCCTGGTCGTTGACCGAGCCAAGTACCACCTCCCTTGGTGTCATCCCGAGCTTCCTGTACCACAGACCTGACCTTGCGCTGCTACCGCTGACCTTGCGCTGCTACCGCTGACCTTGCGCAGCTACCGCTGACCTGGCGCTGCTGTGTAGCCGTCAACTTACGTTTGAAGTAATCTCTGACCGGACCCCGCAGCCAGCGCTGGACGGTCTCATTGGTCCTATCCTGCCGCTGACCTGACCTGACCGCTGGCCTGAACTGACCGCTGGCCTGACCTGACGGCTGATATGACCTGGCCGCTAACCTGACCGCTGACCTGGCCCGATCAAGTCTGACCTGGAGCTGCTGACTGGCCGCAAGACAGCCTCCGAACACATCTCCGACGTCACACACAGCCCCGGCCGGACGGCCCCGTCCTTCCATCCTACCACCGACCTGACCACCGACTCGATCGACTCGTCCAGACGGCGAGCCCGACCCGACCCGGCCTGACCTGGGGCTGCTGCTTCGCCGGCATGATCATGCGTCCGTCGGCCGTCTCCAGCAGGCTCTCCATCCGCGTCTTCTGGTGGCCGCGCGACAGCGTGGTGGTCTTCTTGATCACCCGCATGGTGACGGACTTCATGGCGCCCTGGCGCTCGGTGCGATGCATCTCGTTGCTCGACTGGTGCACGTCGGAGGCCATGCGGCGCGAGGTGACCACCTGCGCCAGCTCCGGCACCGCCTCGCGGCCCCGCTCGCTCTCATACTCGTCGGCGCGGCCCGCCGACATAAACAGCCGGTCGCCGCCCGTGTGGAACTTGTACATGGACATGACGGTGACGGTGGCGGCGCCGCTGCCGCCGCTCGTTCGCGCTGGGTCGCGCCGCCGCTCGGTCACTGGCGCACTGGCTGTGCGGCGCGCTGGCGGCTGTGCACCGCTCGCCCGCCGGCCGCAGGTCGACTGACGCGGTGGCGGCGGCTCGGCCCGGTCGGCCGGCGCCCGACGCGCGCCGCTAATGAGATGCTCAGGGGCGGCGCGGCGCGGCGCGGCCGTCGCCCACGCGAGCTGTCGCGGCCCGCCCGTACGCACACGCAGCGCGACGCCGCCGTACTGAGCCGCCCCGCTCGCAGGGCCGAGTGGGCGGCGGCGCCGGCGGTCGCCGCTCGCGCGCCGTCCGCTCGCCGCCGGCCGCCATCACCTGGCGTGCCCGAGCCCCGCGTCACGGCTGGCTACGTCACGCCGGCGAGCCATGAACTTGAGGTGATTCACACCGGTGCCGGCCGGTCGCCGCTGGACGGCGGCCGTCTGGACACGGCGTCCACCGCGGCCGGCCGACCGCACCGCACGAATGAATGGAGACGACGGGGGAGTCTCGGTCCGGCCAGTGGTGCTACCCGCACCGCATTGGCACTGCATTGGAGTCTCCGCGCCAAAGGGACGCAGCCTCTCGTCAGCCCGTCCATTGAAATAGGAGTTGTACGTGCTGGTCTTACTTTAAAAGGCATAAGAGGCTAGCATGATTATGGCCCCAAAAAGGAATGCCAGAACACCAAGTCGTTTATTTACAGAATGACCTGGCCAATGAAATATTGTCTGGCTTGATCCTGAGACCACCTGCTGCCAATACCATGACCCATTTCTCTGTTAAAAATATCGCATTAACGGAACACTGTTATCCCTTACATACCGAATAAATATTATTGTTCCTACCATCTGGTATGTAAGCCGATGCGTGCAGCCAATCCACAAATCCAGTCCCTGTAATTGTGGTTCCCGAAGGGTTTAATCATCGTTCGCCTGATCTTAGCGACAAGAAATAATCACATTCCAGTCTAATACAGCTTAAAAACGACACGGTGAATTAAATACGCACAACCTTCAGATAAACATGCCGGGCGCTGCCTCACCCGGGAGCACAAAAACAATGTTCAGGTCAGTTAAAAGTGCGCTGTTTCCTTTATACCTGGGTAGCCGCATGGGGCCGGGTGTTCAAGTGCAGGACCAGAGCCGGCAAGGTTTGCTTGGCATCGGCACTAATCATGGCTTATAACGTACCCAAAGTAGCTCAACATTCTGTGGTGCCAACCAAATCAAGGCATTTTCAACGCTGGTGGCATTCCAGTACCGCGCATACTAATTCAGAACAAACTCATTTTAGTCTTTTAGTTCAGTTTAAGCAAAAAGTTTGTCTGCAGCGTAAATTTAGCCTTAAAATACCATAGCGGCTTGACTGTCCCAGTTAATCGCATTTGCACCGTTGTGGACACCAGCTCTGATATCCCATCGCGTTAATATGAAGACATGGTATGACAGCTTCATTCCAGAATACCGACTAGCCGGAGTTACCCGACAGGGGTCTGCTTTCCAAGAAAGATATACTGGGTGCACGGACAGGTTTCTGGTGCCTAAGTCTGCAATGCTCACAAATGGACAATAGCTCCATAAATCACCGGCCACTCAAAATAGGCACAGAAAAGCTGTGCTACGCTATTGAATCACGGGAGTTATGGACAGCTAAAACGCAACGTGGATATGCAAATGGTCAGGCACATCCTGTTTGCTTCAACCTCCCAGCCGCTGAATACGCCAGAATCGTTGATGGCAATAGTAGCCCGCGGCAGTATACCTCACGTATCAACATATTTTGATACCAAAGGCGGCTCTGTACGGACTCTGCGACGGATTATCCATCCGTCGCTTTGATTCTGTTTGGTACCCAACCCCTGAAGCAGCCTTCTCACCACCGGTCAGCCGACAATGAGAACGAACCTCTGGCGGACAGATGGGAGGGCAGGGCTGTGAAGCAGCCAGAGTGGAGGAAGCGGCGCTCGAACCGTCCCGGTCCACTGACCCGGCACGGGTCACAGAAGGAGCGGACCTCTTCAAACGGTCGGCCGGACCAACGGCTCGCGCTCTGCTCGCACTCTGCCGGCGCCCATAAAACCACTTCGCCACAGACCGGAGCGACCAGTGGACGGGCACACCGTTTGGAGCGCAGGCGATTGACGGCGAGATCTCTGTCTCCGCTTTGACGGACATCTCTCCGTTAGATACATCCCGTCGACCGCCTGTGACGTAATTTCTCTCAGCTCTGACCATGCGACTCGAGGAGCTCCCGCCGTGCCCTGGCGACCATGCATGTATAACAGCAGCCCTCGCAACTTCGATCACCGAAGCCAAACAAGACATCCGTCCATGTCTCGGCTCTGCGAGGTCCAATAAGCAAATGTGCCCTGGCCGGCGCAGGTGCCCGAGTCAAATCCGACGGGCGTGGCCCGACGCGATTAGCCGGATCAGCCGGCGCTGGCGTCGGCTTCACAGCGCTCCAGGGTCCCGCCCAGACAATAGGAAGCCGAACAATGGCTGGAACCGGCGTCCGCCCTCACGCACAGCTACTTACTGCCGTTCAGAGACGACAACGGCGCTGCCCGGACCCGGCCAGCCGCAATGGTCAGCAGTTCACGGCGTGAGGAGGCGCTCACACACGGCACGAGCGGTCACTGGCGTCACTGCATCACCACCGGCATCCCCAACACGCACAACCAGCGGCAACGGAGATCATCCAATTACGATGAATAAGTATGAACTTGCTATGTCGCGCACTGATTTTCTGAAAACCCTGAAATTGCGCGAATTCTCTTTCCTCGATGACGCGACAGACGCGTGTGGTTTGAATGCGGACAGCACACTCAGCCACTCGACCTTTTCATACAAAAACATCAAATCGTAGTAAGCAGCGCGGAAAACAGTTGCTCAAACTACATGCATGCAACGACGAATGCAAACACCAGCTAACTGCGTCCCCTACCAATTCACTGTATGTACATACGTGCGTGGAACCTTTTTCGGTGTCCAGTTCTCTGGATATTGCCTCCTCTGTCGTCCGATGGTCTCCTGTATTCGCTCTGTCTCCAGCCGGCTCTTGCAAAACGGCTGGGTCTCTTATCACCCCATCGGGCTCCGAAATGGTCTGCTGCACGGTCGTGCAGTCTCTTACAGAATCCAGCTCCGACAATGTCGCTGACTTGGAAGCTGTGTCCTGCAGCCGCTCCGATGCTGCCTCTTCAACACAGACCATGTCATCCCCGGCATCTTCCCCCTCTCCGATTGTCTCCAGCTCCGCGACCGTCTCCCGTCGCGCGGCTGCCTCCTGGAGCCACTCCGACAGCGTCTCCTGTAGTTTATCCCGGCCGTCTCCCGAAGCATCGGCGGCGAACTCCAGCAGTCGCTCGGAGCCTCCGCGCCGCAGCGGGCCCGGCTCCACGGCGGCGCCAGCCGGCTCCGAGCCTCCTCCGGCGGCCACGGCCGCCTCCTCCGGCAGCGTGAGCGAGCGTCGCCATCGCCTGGGGCCGGTCAAGCGCCGCAGCGCGCCGAGCCAGGCCGGCGCCGGACGCGGCCGGCGCCGCCTTCTCTCCAGACTCCACTCGGCCACGCCCAGCACCAGGTACTGGCGCTCCCACTGTTCGGTGCATGACCAGAGCACCGGTCGGTACGCCGCCGCGTCCCAGTCGCGAGCCGGCGGCGGCGAGCGGCGACGCCCGAGGCCGGCGCGCCGCCGCCGGTCCAGCGCCGGGCTCGAGTCCAGCGAGCGCGTGTGGTCCACACCGGAGCCCGGATGGAGGGCGCGCCCCCGTACTGAGTTCGCCGGGAGGCTGGGCGCTGACGGGGCGTTCACAGTGCGTTCCTGGCTGGTAACGCCACTGTCCGCCAGGTGTCCCTGCTCCGCTCCGGCGCCCAGGGGATGTGCCTGTCCGGCGGCCGCGGCCTCGGGGTAGCACAGACTGCACTGCCGGTCGCGTCGATGCCGTGCGCCGCAGCCGCCGCACGGTCGCTGAAGACGCCGCCTCAGCCAGCTGTACGAGTCGCCAAGGGAAAAGCGCCGGCGGCGAGCCGGCTCCGCCCCGCCGTCGGCGCCGCCCGCAGCGACACGGCAGTTCGGCGCGGCGGCCGGGGTCTTATCAGCGGGGCCGGGGGAGACCAGCGCGCCGTGTCCTCCGTTGGCGGTGGCGGCGCGCGGAGGCAGGGGAGGCGGCTCCTCCTCGCCCGCCGGCTCCGGATCGGGCTGCGGCGCGCCATCACCACCGCACGCTGGCCGAGAGGCGCCAATCTGGCCGGTCGGTGGGGCGGACCCGTTGACGGGGCCACCACTGGGGTCGCCGGCCGTGCTCCCCTGCCGGGATGCCCCGTCGCCGGCCCCCGCCGCGCAGACGGCCGTCCGGTCCGACCGCGTCATCCCCGGCGACCTAGACGCCAGCATGGCAGCGTGACAAGGTATCGCGCCGTTTGGCTCGCCTCCTCGTCGGACGCGTCGGCCGGCAGACGCGCCACCGCCGACGACCGGCGCCGCTGGCTGCCCAGCCCACCCTCGGACGGCGCAGGACTCCGGTGACTCGGCCACCCCCCGGACGGCGCCGGACTCCGCTGACTCGGCCACCCCCCGGACGGCGCCGGACTCCGCTGACTCGGCCACCCTCGGACGGCGCCGGACTCCGCTGACTCGGCCACCCTCGGACGGCGTCGGACTCGGCTGCGGCGGTGACGTGGGCTGGGTCACGGACTGCGGTCCACCGACGCACGCGCGGACTGGGTCACCACCGCCCGCACCGCCTGGTACACAGCCTCCAGATCCAACGAGCGGGCGTCACCACCTCCGTCTGGCGTTGTCAGCTGCGGGCTTGCCGACGGTCTCTGGGGCCGCGCGCGACTTCCGTCCCCATCAACGGGTTATTTAGAGCCGGCGCTGGTGTACTTCCGGCCCACGTGGTGTTTGATTCCTCGTCTCCAGCGCCGTTTCGTCCACGGGCAGAACTACCGGGGGATCATTGCTGGGCGGGCGCGCCG